AAGCTCGTAAATGGTCACTGTCGTCCTCGTTGTCATGATTGTCCGTGTTGTCATGGTCGTTGTTAGGCGCATACTGGAGAGAGGTTCTAAGGTTTTCTCTCCTCCCTTAGCTGAGCAGCAATAAGCCCCCAGGGCACAGGGACAGCGGGAGGGTCTGGAGCACTGGTGGGTTTGGTCCTGGCCCCGGTGGGCACGGGAGGCCCTGGGCTCCCGGCCAGGAGGTGTTGACACAGATGCCACTTGGAGCCCGTGACTCCCTTGGGAATTCGTTCCCTACTTGGTCTGGGGCTGGAGCCGCTGCTCTGGAGCTGGGTCGTCTGCAGCAGAAGCCAGGCCTAGCCCCGGCGCCCATTCTGCCCCGCAGTGCTGGATGTGAACGACGAGATGCCCACCTTCTTCCCGGCCGTGTACAACGTGTCCGTGTCCGAGGATGTGCCGCGAGAGTTCCGAGTGGTCTGGCTGAACTGCACAGACAACGACGTGGGCCTTAATGCCGAGCTCAGCTATTTCATCACAGGTGCTGTCCCCGCCTCCGCCTACCTGTGCAGGCCTCTTGGGGCCCTGCCCCACCCCTCCCAGATGGACTAGGTGGGGGCAGGTGAGGGTGGAAAAGAGGTCAGGGCTCTACTGTGGGGCTTTAACCCCTGTTGGTGCCTCCCGAAGATTTGCTCCTGGCTCTCTCCCAAGGGCTTTGCAGCCAGATCACTCTGGATTGGCTCCCTGGGGACCTCCTGAACCAGTTGCTTGCAGGGATGGGGAGCATCTACCAAGGTTCATTCTAGAGGGAGGTGAGGCTCCATGATTCCTAGGGAGGAGCCCTGAGCTGCACTCCCTGCCCCAAGTATGGGTGGCAGAGCAGTGACTGGAGGAATGTGGCCTCATCCTTCCTTGGGGACCCTTACTCAGGAGAATTCCCATCTGTTTAGAGGCAGATGGTTTTGATCTCCCTAAATGAAATGGTTTTAGCTCAAAAATGTTGACTGGCTGTTGCCTGCAGAGCTATGGCCACAGATGATGAGGCCATGTCCTGGCTCACAGGGGAAAGTGAACCGTGATGGATTAGTGATGTCTGCCACGGTGATAGGATTGGTAGGTGGTGGCACACATCCCATGGATTTGCCATTCCTGGATGAGAACACAGCTTCTTAGCCTCCCTGACACACGAGAGGTGCTGGGACACATGGGGGTGCAGTCTTCCCCGTTCCTCAACCCTCCTTGGCCCTTTTACCAACTCAGGCTTCTCTCTGTCCATCACCTGCCTACCAACACACATGTTGCCTCTGCATATGTGTGCCTGTACACACGAGCAGGGCACACACCAGCCTCCCAATGCCCCCCCGTGAAGCAAGGAAGGCCGGCTCACAGCCCATCTGTGGCTCTGCTGCGGCCAATGTGACCTCCCAGCCCTCAGCCCTCCCTTTCTTCCCTCGCCTCCCTGAAGGGGCCCAGCATCCTCAGGCCTACTCCTCACACTCTGGCCCTCAAGTCAGCCCTAGGGAGGGCTTAGTTGCCAAGACCCCTCACATGGCACCAGCTCCGTGGCTCCACTGCCCGCACTTCTTGCGTCCTAGTTCTGCCCTGGGCTCCCTGGGAGCCAGAGTGTGTCCCTTGCCGATGGTACTTCAGACACTGGGGAGCACTGGAGATCTGAGGGTCAGAATGCTTTCTCCAGGGGCAAACCAGCAAGGACAGGGGAGCACCTGGCAGCCCGCAGGATGACTCTTCAGCACCCCAAAGTGGTGGGCTCCTGCCGACTGCCCAGAGCCCTCCTGGATTCTCAGTGTGCTTTTTGCAAGGAGCTGAGCCCAGTCCTGCCCAAGCTTACCACAAAGCTGGTGCCATGGTGCCCTCTGCTGCCCAGAACACCACACTGCTCGCCAGCTGGCAGGGGAGGGGTCTCCACACTATTCTGGGAGTTCTTTGCTGACTCCCGTCCACCCCAAGAGGAGACCCTCACACTTCCCACCTGTCCCAGAACTCAAGGAGACTCTAATCCCTGTCTCCTGTATGCCTGCCATGACTCCTCCCTCTGTGGAGCCTCCATGTCCCCACTCAGGGAGCTTCGATCCTCAGCCCATCTCACCTCCGAGATGAGGGGCCTGGGGGATGCCCAGCCAACCCCAGAATTCTCAGCCGCATATCCAAGCCCCTACGCAGGTTAGCTGCTCAGACGCTTCTGCAGGACAGGCCAGGAGCAGAGGAGTGAAGGACACGCCCAGGGACCCACACACGGAGAAACCCAGGGTGGCACAGGCACACTGCCGAGCGAGGGGTTCTCCTCTGTGAAGTGGAGGCTAAATGAAGTGGTCTGCATGAAGTGCCTGTAAACAGGAGGTGCTTCATGAAGGTTAGGAAACGATTCCAGGCATCTGGCGCCCCCACTGAGCCCATCCAGGCTGCACCCGCATCAGAGCACCTCAGGCAGGGCTGAATCGGCAGCACAGTCTCCCACTCCTGAACTCACCAGGGCAGGTCCCAGCTCAGGAGCAGAGCCCCCGCTTCTCCTGGCCGGGAGCTCTGTTTCCCAGCCAGAAGCTTCCTGTCCTTCACCCACAGGTGGCAACGTGGATGGGAAGTTCAGCGTGGGTTACCGCGATGCCGTTGTGAGAACCGTGGTGAGCCTGGACCGGGAGACCACAGCCGCCTACATGCTCATCCTGGAGGCCATCGGTATGCACCAGCCCCTCACCCACCAACACAGTGATCTGGGCCGAGTTCACACTGAGTGCCTCCCAGAAGCCGGCCTTTTGCTAAAGGCTGAACTCTGCCCCGATGCCAGTGGAGAAAGGGCCACCAGACATTCACCAAACATTACTGAGCACTTGTCAGGCATGAGGCTCACTGTGTGGTGCTACATGCGAGACTTTAGGATGGTAAGGTGGGAGCTGCATGGGAGACCCACGTGTGGACAAATTACTGCAAATCCAGGCAAGCCAGCAGGAAGGGGAAAGGATGACATAAAAGTATCAGGCAGTGGTGCAGACACGGAGAGGGAGAGGTCATGGGAGGCTTCCTGGAGGAATCGACATCTGGGAGTGCCTTTGAGTGAGTTAGGACCCTTTCAGCTGCAAATTTTAAAATAAAATAAACTGACTTCAGCAATATGGGCTCACAAAATCAGTCCACTGGGAGATGGAGCTTCCGGTATGACTGGATTCAGGGCTCAGGTGACACCTCAGGCTTCAGTCTCTGCATTGGTGGCGCTGCCTCCTGTGTGTTGATGTATTAGTCTGTTTTCACGCTGCTGATAAAGACATACCCGAGACTGGGTAATTTATACAGGAAAAAGGGTTTAATGGGTCTTACGGTTCCACGTGGCTGGAGAGGCCTCACAACCATGGCAGAAGGCAAGGAGGAGCAAGTCCCGTCTTACACGGATGGCAGCAGGGAAAAAGAGAATGAGGAAGATGCAAAAGAAGAAACCCCTGAGAAAACCATCAGATCTCATGAGACTTATTCACTCCCACGAGTACAGTATAGGGGAAACTGCCCCCATGATTCAATTATCTCCCACTGGCTCCCTCCCACAACACGTGGAAATTATGGGAATATCATTTACGTTGAGATCTGGGTGGGGACACAAAGCCGAACCGTATCAGTTGGTGTTATTCTTCAGCTCACATGGTGGCAGGTCATTGCCCCAGCCTCACCTGTACACATTCTCAGGTTCAAGTGCAGCAGCAGGGAAGACAGCACTTGTCTCTTTCCCCTCCCTGGCAGAAGCCCTCAGGTCAGCTCTAGATAGATCCATTCTGCCCTAATGCCTATTCCTGAGCCCCTCACTGTGGCCAGGGAAGTGAGATGTGCTGATTACTTAGGCCTAAGTCACATGCCCATCCTTGGAGCTGGGGGCAGTCCTACCTACCCAGCATTCCAGGCCTCAGAGCCTGGAAGGGAGGGTCCACAGGGGGACATTCAGGACATGGCCTTCCCAGGGGAGCACAGGGCAGTGCTCATGGACAAAAACAAGGGGTGCCCACTGCAGCCTTGGAGGCCACATAAGGTTTCAGTACATGAAGAAGCAGGGAGGGCATTTCAGACAGAGGCACCAGCCCATGAAAGAGCCTGGAGGTGGGAAAGCGCCCTGTGTGCATCAGCACATGTGCATACACTGCAGCTGGCCATGGAGTGGCCCACACTGGGGAAGGGGAGGCTGTGATCAGGCAGGGCCATGTGTGAAGGCCTAAACATTGGCCAAGAAGTTTAGTCTTCGGTCTCTGGGCAGCAGGGAACCCTTGAGGGCCCCAGAGGGGAAGAGTGGTAGGATGAGGCCTGTGCCACCAGGTGCCCCTGGTCCTCCCAGGAAGTTTGCAGTAGCTAAGTAAGAAGGGAATGAATTCTCTGGGCCTCACTCTTTCCAGCCATCCATCCCTTCCCAGCCTGCCCATGCCCAGAAGCCTCTGCCCTCTGCCCTGCTCTCCTCCCCTCTTGGAATGGCCACCCACCCTCTGGAGACTTGTTATCACCCCTGAGTCCAGCCTGCACGTTGGGCATTGGCTGGCAGGAGGAGAGGGCTTCCGCCAGCCTTCCAGGGAGCCTCCCCCACACACACCAGTCCCAGCCAGAGCAATAAGCCAGCCCCCAAGGGTGGTGGGAGGCTAGTCTGGAGAGGAGCTTTGGAGGGTGAGAAGACCTACCTCCAGTGAGCGACAGCACAGCCACATATGGTCAGCTGGCCTGGGAAGAAGCATGGAGTCACCCTAGGCCTCCAGCCTACTCCAGCTGCCTGCACTCCCCGCTGGGGTGACTACTTTTGTCTGGACATGCAGCACTGGTTACAAGCTCCTTCCTCCAGGGAGGACAACTCAAGAGCTGCCCCGGGGCTGAGTGAGTGCCCCATCCTCACCACCTCCCAGCCCTAGGAGGTTCCTGCTGGGAACTGGACGGACACAGTCTCCGGGTACCTTAGGCTTAGATCCCAAGCAAAACCCGTGTCCCTGAATGCGGAGGGGATGTTTGTTTGACCTATCCAATATTTTATAAAGAATGACCATTAGTTGTGAACATTTAAAGATCAGGAGATTTTATTTAAAAGCTCAGATGTTCAATTTCTCAAGAGAAATCAGAAGATCTGGTGTCCCTGGGCCCACATTCTGCCTGTCAGCTGTGGACTGGGGTGGAGCACAGCTGCCCCTCGAGCAGGGGCCCATCCAGGTGTTTGGCCCGGGTGCTGTACCCGCCAGTCCCTGAGAGCAGTTGGCTTTTTGCTCTTAGTACCTGTATCTGCATCCTAAATTTGCCACGACAAACTACCACAAACTTAAAACAGCAGAAGTGTATTCTCTCCCGGTTGTCGAGGCCAGAAGTTAGAAATTAAGGTGTTGGCAGGGTCATGCGTCCTCCAAAGGCTCTAGGGAGAATCAGTCCTAGACTCTCCCAGTTTCTGGAGTTGCTAGGCCTTCGGTGGCTTGTGGTAGCATCACTCCAGCCTCTGCCTCCATCTGCATGTGGCCTCCTCCTCTCTGTCTCAAATCTCCCTCTGCCTTTCTCTTACAAGAACACTTGCCATTGGGTTTATGGGCCACCCAGATCGCCCAGGATGATCACTTCTCAAGACCCTTAACATAATTACATTTTCAAAGGCCTTTTTTCCCAAATAAATTAACCTTCACAGGTTCCCAGGGATTTAACATGGGTCTGTTTTTTGGGAGCCATCATTCAATCCACTCGAGTGCCTCAGTTACCTCCTCTGTAAAATGGGGATGACAGTAAAGTGCCTGCTTTGTGGGTTGCTGTGAGGACTGAATGGGTTAGAAGAATGGCTGGCACATGGTGTTATCTAAGTATTAGATACTGTTAGTGTTATTCCTAAGCTAAAAAGGAAGTCACCCCTTGCAAAGGCTAGGGCAGATGGGGTGGAACGGGGCACCTCTCTGGCTGGTGCCCAGGAGTGTGCAAAGGCACAGGAAGCGTGTCCCTCCCTCAGGCAGCTGCTAACACCTGTCTTCCTTCAACTCCCACAGACAACGGCCCTGTAGGGAAGCGGCACACAGGCACAGCCACCGTGTTCGTCACTGTCCTGGACGTGAATGACAACCGGCCCATCTTTCTGCAGAGCAGCTATGAGGCCAGCGTCCCCGAGGACATCCCGGAAGGCCACAGCATTGTGCAGGCAGGTGGCCCGTGGCTTCTGGGGCAAGTGGTGGGCTGGGGGAGGTGGGGCCACACACAGCCCTGAGGGCACATGCTCAGTGGCACCAGAGGCGGAAGCAGGTAGGGGCCCAGGGTGGGTCTGCTGCTCTGGAAGGTGCTGTGGGGAAAGGGGAACCCAGGCCCCCTCCCATCCCAGAGAGTCTGGGCCCCCAGGTTGCAGAGCTGAGGATAGGGCTCTGGCTCCCCACAAACAGAAGGAAGCCTTGGCCTCCCCCTCCATATCTCCTGCCCCACCCAGAAGGGCCTTTCAGTGTAGGGGGGAGAAGGAGATGTCACAATTTCCCGGAAAGGAGTTGAGGAGAGAGCCAGGGCCCAGCAAGGCCCAGAACAGAGCTGCTTTCACAGAGCCCTTGGCCGAGGCTCCCCTCTTGGGAAGTAAACAGGCACAAGAAGAAAGGGCTCCTTTGCCCAGGGAGCAGGCACAACAGCTCCAAGACTCAGAGGGAGAGAGGGGAGGACCCTGAAAACGATTTGGGTGCCCCCCAACCTCTGCCCAGAGGCCTCAGTTGCTGGGTGGGGAGGAAGGCCCGGAATGAATGAGTCTCTTTACCAGCTATGGGATTTCCGACTCGGAGGCTGAGCCAAACAGCGAATCTGGGCCTGCCCACTGGGGCAGGCTCCTGGGCTTGGGAGGGACAGAAGCGTGGGAGGCTGGCAATGCTCCCCTCCCTGCATCAGGACCAGGAGGAGGGCAGGAAAGGGCTGGGGAGCAGGGAGCTGACTCCCAGAAACACAGAGAGCCCAGAAAGCCCTGGGGATTTGCGAGAGTGTGGTGGCTAGCTCCAGAAGGAGGAAGGAGAGGGTTCTCTCGATCAGGGCCTCAGCTTGTAAGGACTTGGAATGTAACCCCCTGGCCTGGTACCTGAAACCCAATTGAAAGCCCCTCCCCCTCCTGGGCTTTTCCTTCTTCAGGCCTCAGGGCAGCCTCACCCCCTACCCCAGCCTCCAGGAAGAGAGTGCCTAGTGGCCAGCAGGGCCTGCTGGTGGGGTGGATGGCTACAGGCTGAATCCAGCCTGGGATGTGCAGGGAGGCCCCAGGGGAAGCAAACCAGGAAGAGGTTACTCAGTCGGAAGGGAGAAAGGAGCAAAACCCTTAGGGACGAGGCCTGCCCCACCTTCTAAATAGAAACCAAAGACTCGGTTTCTATTCACACAATACTACTCCTACTGAAATCCTAGAGCCAGCGAGTTAATACAGGGCCGCGCTGATTTCTCCCATTTCTCAGGGAGAAATGCAGGGTCTCAGGATGACTTCTCCAAGGTCCTCTTAGTAAGTTTCTTGTGAAGCTGGACTCACTTTTTGAGATCAGATTGACTTGGAAGGGACAGTGGGCTTCTCCAGTAGGGCCTGCTTGGAGAGAAATCTTTCTAGGGGCATCTGAGGGAAGATGAGGCTCTGTGTTGTGCCGGCTCCCACCAGGACTCCTGCCTCAGAGGGTGGGGACACCCCCAGGCTGGGCCACTCTTCACTCTGTACACAGAAACCTCATACTTCTGTGCACAGAACTGGGGAGTCAAAGTGAGGGGCTGGACAAGGTCTGGCTCTCTGCAAGCTCCCAAGCTGGTAGGAAAGAGAAGACATAGACAAGAAGGACCCATGCTGCCAAGAGAATGTTCCTTGTCCTCCCCAAGAGAGGTAGGAGACAGTAGGGGCGGCCCCAGACAAGAGGGCTTCACGGAGTGGGTATATGTGAAGCATAAGCCACAGTTAGTGGGTGACAGGTTGTTCAGTTTTCCTGGAGTTTTGGATCAAGATGAGGCTAGAAAGGTTCACTGGAGCCAGCTCCCAGGGGGCACTGCACGCTGGGCTGAGGAGCTTTGGCTATGTCCATTTGGCACTAGGGAGCCAGTGAAGGTTTTGGAGCTGGGGAGTGGCAAGCCAGAGCTCACTCCTTGGGAAGACTTGGCTGGCTGCGTGGGTCACAGCAGGATGGGGGTGGGGCAGCTTTGTGATGGGATCCTGGCCAGCTGACTGGGACAGGAGCTGGGCAGCCCAGGTCCTCCCTCTGCCCACCCTTCAAATTTGGGACCTGACCAAAATGTTTAACCCTGGCGTTGGGGTGAGAGGTCAAGGGTTTGGGATTCTGAGAAGCCCATCCTGGGGTGGGACTGCTTTGACAGGTAGTCAGCAAAGCACTCACCAAAACCATAGATAGCATCCCTAGTGTGGGCCGGACCCGAGACCCCACAGCTGTCCTGGAGAGATCTAGACCATCCCACCCTCAAGGAGGCCGCTGCTTTCCCTGGGTGAGGTGTGGAGCTGCTGTGAGCTGTCCTCCTCCAAGCCCCGGTGACATCACCTCCAGCTGCTGGAAGTGCCTGCCTCTTGCCACTCTGTCACAGCACCCGCTCTGGCCTCTGAAGGGAGCCTCCTTGTTTATCCTCAGTCCTTCCTGATCGATCCTAACGTGGGTGCCTGAAGAGGAGCCACCAAGATGGCTGCCAAGACCGTGCTTGGAGAGCCCCGCTTGCTCCTCCTCCCAGCTGGCACCCAGGCATCTGATCCACCAGGAGGGAGGCAGCTGCTCCCACAGGCAGCGCCAGGCAGATGCTGGCAGCATCCAGGAAACCCGAGGAAGGCAGCCCCGAGGTTTTGCTCCAGCACTGGGCCAGCACAGATGGCAGGACAGTGCCTTGGCCCTGGTGTAGGCTGAGCATTTCACTTAGCTAAAGAAAACCTTTGCCATTTGGCAACTTCTCCAAGCTGGGCTTTGGCACGTGGAGGGCAAGGCTTCTGTGGCGAGTGAGGGTGCTGATTCTAGGAGGTGGTTACAAGCCCTAGGTTGTACCCTGTGGAGCCTCAGGCCAAAGGCCCAGATGACCACGAGTGCTCATCTCTTGACCAGAAGTCTTTCATCAGGCAGCAGCTAGGGGGTCTGCAGAGAGGAAGGTGCTCTTCTGAGGATCATCTTTAGGGAAGGGCACTGGCCTGGGCATGCAAGGAGCTTCAGGGGTGAGTGTGTGGCCCGGGCTGCTTGGGCCACTGTCTTCCTGCAGCCTGCAGCACCGGTCTCTGAAGCAGGAGGATCTACAGGTAGACCTGGGGGGCGTGGGGGCATGTGTGTGGACACCCCGTCACATCTTGGTAGACTCCGTGCAGTTACAGTGGCCGCGGTGGTCGTCAGGGCCCGGCAGGGGCCGTCGAGGGGCGGTGGGCCGGCCGTGGCGGAAGCTGTGCAGGGAGAGGCGCAGGGAGCCCAGGCGCTTCCAGAGCCGGAGCTGGGGCTCACTGGGGCTCCCGGGGTGGTGGGGCATGCACTCGCGAGCCCTGCGGCGGCTCGGGTCCAGCGCGGCCGGCTTGCAGAGCGTCATGAACAGCAGACAGGTGGCCAGCAGGAGGAAGATGCAGGCCAGGGCAATGAGCATGGGGAGGGGGTCAGTTGCCTCTGCAAGGGTCCCGGGAGTGACGGGAGCTGAGAGAAAGGCGAGGGGGCTGATGGTTGGGGAGCTGTCGAGGCTGGGGCCCTCTGTGCTCATGGCTCCTGCAACAGCAACAGGACAGAAGCTCAAAGCCAGATCAGCTGGACCCAGGGCAGCGGGTGTGGGGGAGACTTACCTAGGGAACATGGATGGGGTGAGGCACTGTTAAACTGGACAGCATCATACCCACATCACAGGTTAGGACAGCGAGGTCCAGAGACATGACAAGTCTAAGCGCACACACAGCTGAGCAGTGATGGAGCTGGGCCCAAGCTCAAGCCCTCTTCCTGCTCCACCCCTGCCCATCTGACATGGAGACAAGAGGGCAGTGCCTGTCCGCATTTTCACATCAATCCTCGTGGATCATCACAGGGTCTTAGGCCTGGAAACTTGGGACCAACTCCGTCAATAACTTGCTCTGTGGCCAGCAGCGAGTTATGGATGGTAAGAGGCTACAGCTGCCAGGGTCCCTAGCAGTTATCTAATGCTCAAGCTGCAAACTGGGGGCCCACAGGTGTGTTTAGTTGGGTCCTTGCCGTGTTTTTATCAATTTAATTGTGAGTATTTTCAAAATAATAACAGATTTCACAAAAATATCTGGGTGCCTGAACTCCCTTGAAATGTCAGAATTTCACCACTGGCACTGGCCCATGTTCCTGCCTCATCCCCGTGTCTGGGGTTGAGCAGCCACTGCCCCTGTAGACAGGGCACTGACCTCCCACTCCCCACACTCCCCACAGGCCCACCACAGACCTTATTTCACCTGCCTGGCCCTGTAGGGATTCCTGTGGCTGCTTCCCAATGCAGTCCAACTTGCTCCCATGACAGGTGGAAAACTGAGGTCCAAAGAGGGGATTTGGCATTAGGGAGCCAGTGAAGGTTTTAGAGGTGGGGAGTGACAAGCCAGAGCTCACTCCTTGGGAAGGCTTGGCTGGCTGCATTGTGGGTCACAGCAGGGTGGGGTGGGGCAGCTTGGTGGTGGGAAGGCCAAGGCCATATTGTGAGCCAGCGGCCGAGTAAAGGCCAGAAGCAGGTCTCCTGACTCCTGGCCCCACGGCCTTGCCACCCCTCTGGCCCCTAACCCTTTCTGAGCTCAGTGAACTGCTCTGGGAACAGGTGGGAAATACACCCACAAGGAGTTGACAAGGGGGCTGGAAACCCCCCAGGGACATCATGCACCTGACAGGGCATTTTCATTCCCACCGAAGATCATCCCATTAGATGCAGTGCAGCAGATGGTCCTTGTCGATGGAAAACCAGGCTGAGCTTTTGGCTCAGTATGTATAGGGTGATAAAAACGCTCACAGAGCCTGGCCGGCAGATAACGCATGGCCAGAGGGTACAGATGAGCAGCGCCACCTGGAGAGCACCGACTGGGCCCTCTCGAGGAAGTGGACGAGCCTCAGCCCAGACCCACGGTGCCAGTGCTGGAGTGCAGGCCCAGTGTGGGCAGCTCTGTCAATTTCCCAAGAGAAGCCAGAAATCTGGATTTTTTTAAGGCAAACATTCTAGACGTTTAAATGTTGGCAGCTAATTCAAACTTGTTGAAGGCAAGAAAGAAGAGAGGTGGGGTGGGGGAGAACACAGCAAAAGCCAAATAAACTTGATTTCAAAATAATGTGAAATGAATTTTCAAATATTTGAAACACTCCATAGGCCAAACCAAACACATAAGCAGAGGACGTCCAGCCTGCAGGTCAGCATATGTGATCTTTAAATTCTACTGACGTGGACAAGCAATCCCAGGGGTTCTGATAAAAAGTCATGATTTCCCTTTGACCTTGGGGTCTTTCCTTTTCATGAGGGTGGAGGATAGCAGATTTTCCTCCTTCCCAACTTGCAGCTTAGATAGCAGTTGAGTTTCTAGCACGGAAGATCAGGAGGAGGAAAGGCGTCAGGTCACGCTCAGAGAAGCCCTGCCATAGGTAGCGGGGAGGGGAGCGGGCCACCTAGTCCCCCACCCGAGGGACTCCTGTCCCTACCCCGGGCACTCACCAGCAGTCGCAGGACCTCACTCCTGGCTCCCCGTGCCCAGTCGACTGACGGCATGCAGAGCACCCCACCTCCTACCCACTCCCCACCACAACCCCTCCCAGTGCTTCCAGGCAGAAAACGACCCCTCCCAGCGCCCGGCTGGAAAGTGTGATGCCCGTCTAGCTGCCCAGGGCCTCCGCCTTTGCGGCATCAGGCCTAGAGAGCACTCTGGCTGGGCAGCTGTGCATGGGTTGGTCTTTCCTTGAGTCTGAGCAGGGAGGAGGGACAGGGTGTGCTCACTGCCCACTGTCATGGGGAGAAAATCAGCCATCCCTCTCTTCTACCCTGGACGATGCTTGGCCGGGAATAAGAAAACGGCAGCCTGAAATGGGGAATGCCTCAATCCTACTAGTTCTAATGTTATTTCAAGGCCTTCAAAGGAATCTGGAGACCCTACTGGGTTAGCAAAGAGGATCCAAGCTTCAGGCCTTGGGACCTGCTTTAATAAAAAAATAAGTGAGGCCAGGCGTGTTGGCTCACGCCTGTAATCCCAGCACTTTGGGAGGCCAAGGCAGGAGGTTCACTTGAGCCCAGGAGTTTGAGAACAGCTTGGGCAACATAGTGAGACATCATTTCTAAAAAAAAAAAAAAAAATTTTAATTAGCCAGGTGTTGTGGTATGTGCCTGTGGCCCCAGCTACTCAGGAGGCTAAGGCAGAAGGATCATTTGAACCCAAAAGTTTGAGGCTACAGTGAGCTAGATTCATGCCACTGCACTACAGCCTGAGCGACAGAGCAACACTCTGTCTCAAAAAAAAAAAAAAAAAGTTAAGTGGAGTTGTAATTAGCATCTGAGTAGTTCCTGTGGCAACGATCCTAAGTGCTTGAAAACAACATGACACCCTTCCTGGAGCACGAGGCAAGTCCAGATGCCAGGCCCCTTGACACCCTCTACTGACCAACCAGCAAAGGCCAGCAAGTGCTGGGAGCGGACGCCTTGCCCGGACCAAGGCCAGGAATCATCTGGAGGGCAGTTGAAGCCACTCCCTTCCCACTGGGACCAGGGTACACCAGCAGGCCCTGCTCTGGACATATCTCTGCAAGCTCAGTGTAGAAGCCTCCTCTTCCCTTGGAGTTCCACAGAGCAGGACCTGCTGTGGGCAGAGAAGACTGCTGTGTGGCCTCGGGCTGGTCCCTGCCCCTTACTGGGCCTTGTTTCCACTCTCTACAGAACCAGAGGACTGCCTAGGTCTGAACGCACCCTCACATTCTCCCAGGAGTCCCTCAGCAAGGGTCTCCACCACACTTCCCTCTCCAAGCCTTCTCCAGCAGTCCCCCAAGCACTGACCTCAGAGCCAGACCCCAGCTGTCCCAAGCTCTGTGGAGACGTCTTCTCAGCTGTGGAAGGGAGGCCCGAAGAGCCCTGGGCAGTACCTGTGACCCCAGCCCTGCCCAGGCTCTGCTGTGCCCTGCAGCCCTCGGTCAGCCTGGCCAGCAGAGTGGCCTCCCCGTCACTCCCCAGCTGGACCTGGCTTTGTCTGGAAGAGTTCGGGATCTGCCTTGGGGGAGGGGATAGCTAAGGGAGAAGGGATGGCAACTGGGTTGGGAAGAGGGAGAAGGGAGCTGTCCAGAGACTCTAGGATGCCCCCCCGCCCCCCCGCCTTCCCACCGCCTCGCTCCAGCCTGTCTCCTTGGAGCCTTCTCAGGGCTGGGGGACTCTGGGAAGACGCAGAGGGAGGGCTTTACTGCCTCTGTGGCCCCGTGGCGCTCACCTTCCCCTGTTGGAAGTTTGAATGGTATGGTCGGCGGCAGCCAGCGGGTCGCTATTCAGTGGCTGCCAGCCACCAGGTTACCCGGGAGAGAGGTTACCAGCCATGGCGGGAGGGGAGCAGGCAGAGTGTTGGGCCCTGGCAGCCCCTGAGGCCCCTCTTGCAACGTCCCTGGGCCCCGCTCCTTCCAGGCTTTTCCCTCGGCTTCTAGAAAAGCACCTTTCCTTTGAAGGTGTCTGGCTACAGAAGCGAGGGGTGAGGGGCATCTTCAAAGGTCAGGGGTATCCCAGGGCAGAAAGCACAAGAGTGAGGGACTGCGAAGGCCATGCTCCCCACAGTGCGAGTGAGCCACAGGAGACCTCCACTGGAGGCTCTTTCCAAACCACACACACACAAACACACACACACAAACACAGACACACACTTCCCTCCCCCAGCCTTCTTTCTCCCCAGAAGCCAGAGCTTCTCTGGCAACCAGCCGCCTGCTTAGGAGCCCAAGTCTTCCGCAGCTTCCCCACCAGGGACCTCCAAGCTCCCAGAAGTGCAACTCAAGACGGGAGTCATGGCTCTGTCCAAGACCTGAGCCTCGGACCCATTCCCTTTTTTGGAGCCCCAGTTTATGGTTTTTAGCTCTTCCCTCCTGCCCTTGCCCACAAAAAGAGGCACTGTCTGCCAACTCCAAGATGGACAGGAGCTTTCCTATAGGCTGTTAGGGCTGGAGCGGTCCTCAAGGGTCATCTAACTCCTCTTCTGAGAGAAGAGCCCCCCTCTTCTCTCAGAGGACCAAACTGAGGCCCAGAGAGGTGTGACCTGCCCAGAGGCACCCAGCAAGGGAGTGGTGGGAGACTTGGTGTGTCCCCTGTGCCGGGTGGGCAGGGGCAGGCAGTAGGCATCCAGTGTAGGCAAAGCATCCAGCCCAAAGGTGTTCCCAATGCCTAGAGCCCCCATTGGGATTCCTGCCCCTCCCATCACAGCCTTCACTGCCCTCATTTTCCTTAACTTCCTCTTCTAAAACCAACTGAACACTTCATCTGTGGCCCCCATTCCTCCTGAGATGGCAGAAGGCAAAGCTTCCAGGGTGGTGCAGGCTGCTGGAGTAGGGAGGCATCAAGGAAATCTCACCATGGATAGACACGCAAGGGCGTGCTCTGGGCAACACGGCTGTCTTCCCAGTCCTGAGCCCTTCCAGATCTGGACAATTGAAGCACCCTGTTACATCCCTCCACCTGCCAGCTCCTAAGATTTCTCAGGGAATGGGGAGAGAAAGAACTGCAAGGCAAGGGCAACCCCAGCCATCCCCAGCTCTGGCATAAATCAAGAGGGCTCCCTGGAGAAGGTGGCATCACTCATGTCAACCTTTACCACACATCCCCATGCTAGGCACCAGCCAAGATGCTTTGCAGGATGACTTCTGATCTTCCTCTCAACCCTGCAAGCTTGGTCATCATTGTGCCCAGTCTAAAGATGAGGAAACTGAGGCTCAAGGGGGCTAAAGTACTTATCCATGGTGCCATAGAGAGTAAGTGACAAATCCTAAATTCGTGCTTGGGTGTGCCTGACCCAGAGCCCTTGTTCTTCTTGCTCCAGTGTACTGGTCCTCCTCCCCACCGTCAACATGCTCATCAGAATCCTCAGACATGCTTACAGCAGTGTCCAGGTGTGCATCGAGCCTGACCAGGCCAGCGCCTGCTGCAGGCTCCTTGCTCTCCCTCCATACCACCATGTCTGTGTTCGCTGTCCTGTGGAGGCTCCAGGGCCTCAGTGCTGCTGATTGAGGCTGTCATTCCACTCTTCCAACCACAGCCCTCTGCTGTCCCTGCATGAGCCCTTCACTCCAGACTGGGGTCCCAGTTCCTTCCTCAGCCTCCCCAGCTGCCTCTACTTCAGCTCACACTGTTTCCCAGCACAAATGTTCCTCCCACCTCTCTCTGCTAAGCCAGGTTTCCACCATCCTTCCAAACCCAGCTCCCTCCTTTGGAAGCCTTCAGCCAATCCCACCCTCACTGTTTTCTTGATCTTTGCTAGCAGGAACCCATCCCCATCTTCTCTGCAGGTTTGTCCAGTGAGCAAAGATAGGAAAGCCTGCATTAGGGCTTTGGGTGGCAAGAAAGAAATCCATTCTATATTATCTTAGGCAGGGCCAGACATGGTGGCTCACACCTGTAATCCCAGCACTTTGGGAAGCCAAGGCGGGAGGATTGCTTGAGCTCAGGAGTTCAAGACCAGCCTCGGCAATATAGCAAGACCCTGTCTCTACAAAAAATTAATAATAATCTAGGCAGAAGGAGAAGTGTACTGGAGCAATACTGAGATACCCCACGGGATCAAAGGAAAAATCAAACGGGAGCGAGGCACAGATGGGCTCCTGGAATAGCTGGGCCCAGAGATGCAAACCAGGGCTGAGTGTTGTATGTGTCCTTCATTCGTGCTCACTGAGTGTCAGCCTAGTTCCTCTCCCTG